AGCGAAATGTACTTAAATAATTAAAGTAAAAATAGTAGTTTTGCAGTAAAAGGCCCCTCTAACTGATATTTTATATACGACAGCTACTATTAAGCTACTAGTTTAACGAACAGATTTATTTATCACAAAAAAATCTGAGGGCTTGTGATTAAGGGGAGAGACAAGAAGGGACAAAACTAAGTTCTGAAACACAAATCTGTTTAAATAAATGTTGGACTTTTCTCTTAGCTTTTTGTGAAACACTGGATGTGTTTAAGTTTATCATATGATTTTTATATAAAACCTTAGATACTAGAAAATATTTTATTCAATATTTTATTCTGAAATTTAGTGCAGTAGAAATATAAAGTAGCAGAATACTCAATTAAAACACCTTGTAGGTGAACCACACTGTTGACTGTTGTTTTGGCATCATGGTGTCCTGTTTTTCAAGTTTTTAACCGCATGCATTTCTCCTATGGGGAGAAAAACTTTATCCCGACTGTGACCTTGACCATGAAATAGCCTCACTAGCGCAAGCTTTGTATGTGTCTCCAGTATGATGCGTGTGTGTGTGTGAGTGTATACCTGTACAGATGCTGGAGGAGAGCATCAAGGGTTGACCTGTTTATCTTTGGCAAGCTCTCTATGAAGGTGGAGTACTTCTTTACTCTCTGCCTCTCGTCCTTCTCATCTAAAAAGCACACAAATGAGAACTGCTGTAAACACAGAACTATAAACTGAGACTCCACCATGGGCGCGTAAGAGAAATGAGCGTCATACTTTTTACATTATTTGGGAAGCAAAATTTGACACCACATGTCCTGTGTGTGTCTACAGTATCTATAGCTTTAACATTAGCATTTGCTTTTCATGTCACTCCAACAGCTCACACACCCAGAGCCGACACCCAGTATGGATAGAGCTCCTTGGTCAGCAATGCATCCTCTACTTGGGATAAGAAGCTCTTCAGGGTGTCCGTCACATCCTGCAGCTGGTGCTCCTTCTCCCTCAGCTTCACGTTACGGGCATCCCGGGTGAACTCGTCCAGCAGCAGGGCCACCCGAGCAGGGTCCCCCGGTCTCTGGTAGACCCCCTCCTGACACAAACCTGGTTAGGGAGCGATAGATGGATGATATAAGGAATAAAATATACTGACTGGTTCAGCTCACTTACTTTGTGACTTATGCACATTTTATTTCGTCACAGTCAATGTCTGATGTGTAGCGTCTGCAACAGCAAATGACGGTTCATAGATTTCTATATAACTAAATACAATTATAGGGCAACCTTATGTGTGCTAAGTTGTGGGATTTAACAACGTTACATAAGCATATTTGAATGTAAATTGCAGGTAGAATAAAATTGCCGCTGTGAGGTATATTAACCTTTTGTACCACTTTACAGTTTCAGTCAGAGTTAACTTTATGCCAATCCCTCATTACAGTACATTGCATACCACTTATAATGGCTCTGTTTAAGTCCCCTTTTTGCATTTATCATGCATTGATAAGGCAACAGGCACTATGTAATATAGATTTTCTGTTTATATTTTGCGAATAACTTTGGATCCTGCAGTAATAGCGGGGCAAACAGTTGGACAACATTTTCTACATTTCTAAAAATACGAGATAATGTCAGAGCATTATGCCAAACAACATTAGAAAGCATGAAATTCTCATCACAGCGCAGCACACTGGATGAATCAGCTCCTCAAGGGGGAAACGATAATAATAGTCATGCAGAACCAATTTTTTAAAACTTTTCTCCGCCGTAAATATAATGTAACTCACCGTACTGAGTGACAAAAGCAATGCAACTGTCGACTACAATAGGGACGCCGTTTTTAGTCAGCTGTTGGTCACTGAGCGCCTTGCCATCTGTGCCAGAAGCCAGTGTGATGGCAGAGTGCCACAGTGAAAAGTCCATCTTGTTAAAGCCATGGATGTAAACTGTTCTATTAAGACAAGGGGGGGAAAAGTAATTATTAATGAAGTTCAGTCATATAATTGCCAGCAACAATATGGTGTTTCATAGTTTAAGAGGAAAAGTTGTCCATGTATTTGGAAAGTCATTAAAATACACAACCAACAAGATTAAAGGAATCCAAAAGCACTTCGACAGAACACACATTCATAAACATTCACCGGTTTTCCCCTCGAGGTTTGATCAAAAACACACAAACGAAGTGCAATTAACGGAGTAAACACAAAGTATGCATTACTCTAAAAGGAAGCCTAAAAACTGTTGGCTTGTGTCAGGTGCCGCCTCACCTCGTCTCAGTAACTGACGCGGGCAGTCCAGCGAGGATTTAATTACCTCGGATGGTTACAGTAGGTAAAGTGTATTTGGACTAACAAGACAAATGCAAAAATCAAAGCCAACAGCGTTGCATAATGCATAGTGTTGTTGTATCACAAATACATTGCCAATTAGCACCTTTTTTTCAAAGACTGACATACCTTCCGCCCTCCACCATCAGCAGGACTTGGATCTTTTCCTCACCCTCCGTATGTGTGGAGACAGCTGGGGGGGGGGAGGAAAGGGCAACAGGTTGTAGGTAATGCAGGCTTCAAAATATTTAAAGAACACAGCATTCCGCAATGATGTAACATAGCGCATTGAGTACAGTTTAGGTCTGACATTTACAGTTGTTCGATCTTTGTGAAAAGCACGAACACTTAGAAGCTTCAGCCATGAAAGTTGATGCATTCATTAACCTGAAAGTCGATGCATTCATTAAGTGTCAAAGAAAGGCCTCCCATCTCTTAAGTGTTAATTTACTTTATACGAAAGTCATGGCAAATAATGCACTGCACAATATGTCTAGACATATCTGACAAGTCTTTTCAAATTTACATTAAGTGGAAAAAAAAGTGAAGGAACGGTACAGTGGTGTAAAAGCTTCCAATGGCAGTCAATAGCACTTCCTTGCTGTAATGGGGAACGTGGATATAGTTTAAGTGTTACAAACTTACTAAAAGTGGTGTAAAGGGAAGTGGGGCCTACATACTGGTGTCAGTGGTCACCAAGCTTTACATAAACAGAGCAAATGCAACCAAATAAGATTACACTGAGGGATTTAACATAAAACTAAACAAACAAACAAATAAATCAGACAAAGAGTTCCTGCCATTCTTCATCTGAACAATCAATCTTAAAAATAACAGTGCAGCGATACAGAAAAACTTGGCTAAGGGACTGGAAAGCTCTGCCATAATCTCTTCTGTGGGTTCAAACAGCTGCTTGGATCAAGGCAACAATCACACACACACACACACACACAACAGAAAAACAGTACAAAAAAAGATATGAGGCTCTGCAGTTGAGTCACAAATCTCCTAGCAACAACATGTGGCCCTTTCATCACACTCAAGTTCCCACTGGTTGAGCACAAATAATGGATGTGTATATAAAAGAAACGATCAAAACGAGAAGAATGTGGACTGAGAGCTAGTTAACTAGCTACCTTTATAACCCGGCATTACTAAATAATGCTATATTTTGTCACGGTGCACCAAAATGGCGAACACACATTCACTTTGTTACCCAGAGTCTGTATGGTGAAAAAGGTACTGCCAGCTAGCCAGTTAGCTTAGCTTAAACTATAATGTAATGTTTGTATGCTTTGTTTATTGTCCAGACTAAACACAAAAGATATAAAACTTTTTTTTCCTTTACCTTCGACACAGTCATGCTAGCTGTTCACCCGTTTCAAGTGCTTTGTGCTAAACTTAGCTAACGACCTGCTAGCTACACTAAACCTCATTTTGTTTAACCCAGACCGAAACCAAAGCGTGACAAAAAAAAAAAAAAACATGACGCGTTGCATGTTAAACTAAGACAAGCTTTGTATTTTACATACAGAAATGAGAAGCACATTTCCCACAAAGCTGAACTATTTTTTTTAAATCCAAGAATTTCAATCTCAGAGGCTTCAAATGTAAGAAATGCTATCTGTGGAGAGTATTTTCTCTGCCTGTACTGTGTATCTTAAATGGATCATCTCACAATCACCACATCACACACACAAAAAGGTAAGAAACAAAAATATGTTCTTTTCATTTCCTCTACCAAAATACCAAATCCCTGCACCTGCTTCTTTCGTAAAAACACTGATTATCTCCAACAACAGGAAATTTTGTGTAATTGTTAACACAAGAAAGAGGATTGGTAATAAAAAATTACAAATACAGTGTTACTTTGGCTAACAAAGTGCATGTTGTGTGTGTTTGCATGTTAAGCTACAACAAAACAAAACAATTAATCCCCAAAAGTCTCTCTTGACAAATATAATTTGCTTTTTACTTTCTTTGGCAGATTTTCAAGGGCAAAATATTTCATTTTGATCCGAACAACAAGAGAAGAAAGGAGAGAACTTCAGAGATGGATATTGACTTGAGAGAGGTTTATTAACAGTGTTATCAGGTAAATGCAAAACACTTGTCATCGCTGTTTGAACAAACACACAGCAATCCTCTTTTATCCATCTTACAGCTCAGTGGGACATTTTTTATTACTTAATATGTTTGTGTGATAAGGAACTAAGTCTGCGGCCTTGTTCTCTCCTTTAATTTATACTGGCCGTCCTGTAAGAGATTTCCATTATGTTTTTTTCCCCCTCTAAAAATCAGGGTGATTTAGGGTGCTGGTAAACATTTTCAGTGGGAGCATTAAGTGTTGTTTATTTTTGACATATTATATGATAACATCGTAATATTACAAGCCCAGAGATGTGACTTTCAGCGGTAGTTCCTCTGCATTGAACCAACTCTCCGATGAACACAACTGGCTGTGTTTATGGTTGGAAAGCAGTCAAGGGATCCCATGTTTATTACTGCCATAGCATTTTGAAAAAAAATCTGATAACAATATATTGGCCAAACATAAATGTTAGCAAAAGATAAACATTTCTGAATTTACCAAAAGATATGTAATGGATGGGACATTTCCAATGGACAGACTCTGTAGTGTACTTTCTATAAGACATTTCTTGATATTTAATAGCTAATATAATACAGATATATCTGGCATAACATCATATTGGCCACTCACTTTATTCAAACTCCTATATACTTACAGTATACCACAAACTACACACTAAAAACTTCAGTAGTATTTTCTCAACCCATACAGGAACACTTAAAGGTGCCCTATGAAGCTTTCTTGAAAACAAACAAAAACTTCACTTTACATTTAGTGGTTTTCACCTAAAGTCATAGAGTGTATCCTCGAGCTCTAAGAAATGTGTTTTAAGCATTTTCCCATCTCATAAAAGTATCGTTTACATCCGTGTTAACTGGCTAGCGGTCTTCTTCTTCCCTGTCTTTGCCGCCACACTGCAGAGTGCGGGTTTTAACGTTTTTCCGATTATACACCATCTTAGCAACACTGGATTGGTTATATTAACTTTTATGTGTAGCTGTAGGTTATCATAGGTAATATATCAGAATTAGGTATTGCAATCAGTTAGTCTTAATGGCCAAATGTGTAACCTTACGAGGATGTATTTGCAGAAACGGAACATAATATTCATAGATATGTTTCCATTAGTGAACAATTGCCTGTATATATGAATCATTGCTTTATTGTTACCTTAGAATGGGCTTTATTTATCTACATTAGGAGCAGGTCCTCTTCCATGGAGGCTGCCATGTTTTCTACAGTAGCCCAGAACGACAAAACCAAACACTGGCTTTAGATAGGACCTTTCAGGACCACCGTACTAGATGCCACTAAATCCTGCACAATGGTATTTTAAGTTAACTTCCAAATGTACATGAATCATCACTAACAGTTCTTTCTGAACATGCTAGCTGTAATGGAATATGTCTTAAAATTGAAATGGACCTCAGTGTGGACATATTGTAATTTTACTACTAAATATGCACGACTGCAGTCTTGTGCTGATGCCTATCTTAATTTTTAGATGAGTGAGCAGAGCAGTGGGATTAACGTTTTTTTCTTCTGTATTTAGGCACTGCCTTAAGAGAAATCCACTGAGAAAATTGCACCAAATGAGTTCAAAGTTAATGTGCTTATCTTGTTTGAAAACTGTTCATTTTAGAAAAGTTCTGGGTGGGAAGGCTGATTTGAGCACTGTGACAGGTTAATGATTATCCAACTGTATCTGTCATTTTCCCCTCATTTTACTTTGGTTTGAGTTATTTGTGCGGCAGACATCTTGACACAAGGCATCACAAAAAGATCAATCCTCTCTCAAGTACACAGCTGAGCCCCCAGGAGGCCATTTTGAGAGGTAGTTCACTCTTGTTCTTCGGGGGGATTTTTCATGTATGAATTTATTTATTTATAAAGCACTTTTCAAAAACAAAGTGCTTCATAGAATGAATACTGAACAACGGACAAAGATCGATAAACTAAATTTGAACAATAAGCAAAAGACAGTAAAGATTGCCCTAATCGTAGGGTTGAGATAAACAAAAATGAACAGACAAGGCAATTAAAGATAAAATGAGTAACAACTTTATAGTAAGTTTTGAGAAAAGAGTCATAACTCTGCCAGCCTTAAGTCAGAAAACCAGGAACAGACCGAATCAAACTTGCAATGAACTCCTGACGCATGTTGGAAGCATGTTGCGATTTTAATTGAAAAGTGTACTTATCAAATCCCTCGCTGCTACACAGGAGCACCTTTCATGTGGTGGTGTCACTGCAGAGAAAATAACAGTTAATCCCATGTCACAGACTCTGTGATTCCTAAAGGGATCGCTTTCAGTGCTCCAGAACCTTAACCATCCCCTGACAAAATACAAGTCCCTCCTGGCGCTGCGGCTCCCGGCTGTGACAATATGGGTTGAGAAAAGCCGGGAATAAAAATGGGCCCCGCTGCAGCTTCTTAACCCGCCCCAAAGGTAGAAGACGGGGCGGGCACTTGCGCGATTTTGATCCACGTCGAAGGTTGTTAAATGGCATTTAAAAAGATCATTGATCCCCCCCCCCCGCCTTCTGTTCGCACATCACACTGGTGCAATCGATCGATCTGCCAAAGTATGTGTGAACTTCCACCGTGACTGGCAGCTTCCCCTCCACTTTCTATCCTTTAAATAACTGCTGTTTGCCACTAATGTGGAGATATTGGCAACAATTCATGTTAGTGGGCAGCGGAAAGAATGCTACATGCATGACACCATCATACTGTGAATATTATATAATAGATTTTTATTTCACACGAGTTCGTCCAAAATTATGTTTCCATGCCACATTTTGTGAGCTCGACAGCTCAGGGGAAATCTGAATCCTGTTTTAGCCGATGCTGGCTTGATGACGCATTACATAATATTAACCTTTACTGACCTCATATTAACATCTTCTCATAAACAGGTCTGTGGCATCTTGTCATTCTCCTCCAGTCCCCTCAAAGGATGATTTCTATAATGGAAGACTAAGCTAGCCAATTAGAGCAGAGATCTGTGTAATGGTGTGAGAAGCTGAAATGTCTTGTGACACTAGTTGCTTTATGCACCCATGAGGTCCTTAAGTAGTTATAGATGCAAGTGGTGGGAGGGTGTCACGGATTGGTAGCTTTTTTGGAAATTGCTCGGTATATCAAAACGGTGAGAGGGAATTTTAAAAAGCCCCGAAAATCTCAACAAATTCATCACCCGGTTGCCGCAGTTGACCACTAACCCTATCAACCATAAACGGATATGGTCACTCTGGGCTGTGAGGCTTTAAAACCTGATTTACTGAGTATTAGAAAGCTGCACCGAAGCTCTTAAAACCAGGGACGGGTTTGCTTGTGTAAACTGTGGTAATTTGGGAAAGAGCTGAAAATGAGTGTTTTATTTTACGCATATATTAATGCAAAAGGATAAATCATGCTCAGCTCAGTGCGGGCACTACACCAGCATTACCAACAGTTTCTGAGCAGAATAAATTTATTTCAATGCTGAGATCATTGCAAAGTACTGCACTGGCCCAGATATAGATATTTTCTTCTGAAAATTACATTTGAGAAAGTCTTTGTAGCTTTAATGTTGCTAGGCTAGCAAGTGTCTTCATGCCTGTTTATAGTGTGGTTTTTAAAGAGTTAGTTAGCCATAAATGCCTATAGGGAGTCCTCACCTACAGGCGACTCAGATGGCTCGTGTAATGTGTGCTGCTGCCTGGGAGGAAATAAATTCCCGACGAGCGGATAAACAGTTGGAACAGAATCGTGTGTCAAGCAGCCAAGAATTACCGCCGTCACAGAATGTCAGGATGAAGAGAAAAGATGCAAACTAACCAGAGAGAAGCATTTCGGCTGCTTCCAAGAGCCTGTGGCATTACACAAATGTGGGACTTATGTTGTGTTTTAATGGAAGTATTCGTCATGCTTCACTTTTACAAGAGAAAAGGCTTCAAGGATGAGGACAATGTTGCCCTTGGGCTGGGAAATTTTCGCAACAGGTTTAGTCTGTTAAAGTGTTTATTTTAAAAAACTAGTTTTCCCACAAAAACAGATGCTGAAAGACGGGACTGAAATTTAATTTGCACCACCGATAGTGCTGGCCTTTGAGGGAAGAGCTATTATGTAACCTGTGTGACTCCATCCGATTTAACAAGGAATGTAACTTAACTTCGCATACGTGTGTGTGGTTAAAGACCAGGATGGCAAGAGCTGTAAAGGTGCTGAAATTGAAAAACAACAATGCAAATACGCTTACTGAGCTCCTGCAGCTGTTTGAGTTGAAGGACTTCCTCCTCTCCCTCCTCGTCTCCTGGGCTGAAGTGCAGGGCAGAGCCTTCCAGCGTAAACCAGCCCATCCTCCAGTGGTACAGGTCATGGCCCTCTTTGTAGAGCAGTCTGCCAATCAGCTCGCCTTCTCTCTGCAACAGTCCCTCGACTTTAGGCGGGACGAAGCACTGAGAGTCATGCGGATAAACAGGGAGAGAGAGAGAGAGAGAAAGAGAGAGAAGGCTTTCAAATGAAAAAACTTTCACTTTTAAAACTTTTTTACGCTGCCTGTCACCTCAAAACAAACGAGCGACACGGAAACACAACAGGTACAGACTTCTGCTTGTAGGGATAAACCTTTGCTCAGTTTCTGCTCCCTTGACGAATTCTTTTCTAAGTACATTCCCTTCCCTCCCGCTCGGCTCTGTCTGGCCATTGTTCTGTGATTCAAATTGAAATACGGAGGTGTGAAAGGCCCGTGGTGCAGATGGAGAGACATATGGACTAATGCAGCTATACCTCCCACTATCTGTGACTGGGTTGCCTGGGATTAAAGAGATAAAAAAGGGAATAGGGGACATATTTATGTAAGGTGTTATTACAAGATCGTGTCAGCGTGTGGGGGAAGAGATAGTAAGACCACTTGTCTTATTGAAAGAAGCACAGGCAGCGCGGGGCTCACCGAGGACAATGTGTGCGACTGTGTGTGTGTGCGCTGCAAAGTGAATGAAAAAAGTACTGGATGGATGCACTGTACTTCTCCGGCACATTTCTTCTTTGTAACTTTAAGCGAAAAAACAAACTTGTAAAAAGGAAGGCAAAGAAAACAAGTGTGTTTTGTGTGTCTGTGTGTGCGCTGTATGCTAAGTGTGTCACCTTTGTTAGCGCCTGGATCCAGTCATGCTGCGTTTCCTGTGTTTCAGCTCCGACAATCAGCGCTCGCTCTGTCTGCAGGTACAGCTCCACGGTAAACACAGCCCTGCCAGAGACACACGGCTCGCTATTAGATATCTGGAATGGAAAAATGTCCACACACACACACACGAAGCAGGCAAAGAAACAGCCAAATCTGTGTCTTTGCACACATTCATGGCTGTGTTATTATGCTTGTAGCAGCATGTAGTGGTAGGGCCTTCAAATTTTGCTTTAATCTGTTATTTTCTTTGGCTTGATTGCAGAAAAAAATCATTGAATTGTGTCTGATTGGACTTGCGACTTGCTTCCAATCGACCGGATGAGGAGCAGCAAAGGCAGCAGCCGGTAGCACATTTCAAACTTGGTGGACGCAGACTTTGAGACGAGATCAGCCCACCGTGGATGTTTTTATCTACTATAAATATTTTTCCTTCCAATCTAAATCTAATTATTTGTTCTGTTTTGTGTGTGAAAAGGAATTAACACTTTAACGTCTTTGTGTGTCCTTGTGTTGTACAGTGATAACTCTAATGTGCTGACCCCTGAGCAGCTCACTAGAGCTGTTGGAGGTCAAGTGCTTGCTCAAAGGGTACCTGAGAGGTAATAATAAACTAGGGTGAAGCTCTTTCACTTCTCCAACCTTCAGTTATTGAGCATTGGCATTGGTGTGAGCAGAACCTTCTGCGGCTCAACGCACAAAGGTTGTGGATCCATTCAGGGGTTATGTCTGGACATTGCAGAGGACTACAAGTACCATATAGTGACAATTAACCGGATTGGGCTGAGAATACTGAAGTCATCTACAATAAAGGCCATCTTTATTTTCAGAGGAGGCCGAGGTCGCAGGAGTGCATTAAGTGCAAGACTCGTTCCACTGAGATGCGCCACAGAGCGACAAAAGAACGGCGTTCCTGCCTGTGGCCATCAAACTTCCCTCAGAATGTCACACACTGATTTAATAGGCTTCTTTCACCTTTGTCAGCAGCTAGAACCCCGTCATTTATTGATCATTTATATCTTCAACTGTGCAACAGTACTCACTTTGTGTAATAATTATTATGCAATACTCTGGTATTGATACTGGTGTTAGCCACACGACTAATAACACAATAACAATAAACATATTTTATTTGTGTATGCTTATATATTATATATATATTATATTATTTTTATATGCGTCTTATTTCTTATATTTTAAAATGGGAACAACTGTAACGTGATCCCAATTGTTAAGTCTTTCTGATCATTATATCCTTGCATTTCTCCACACATCCATCCATGAGATTTGATGTGCTTGCGAATAAATGGAACTTTCTTCTCTCTTTTTGTCTATTCATGTGTAGAGACAGTCACCTTTCCCACTGATACACGAAAGCCTTTGGCTAAATCATGTTATAATGTAGCTCAGATATTCAGATTTAGCCTTGACACTGTTATGAATGGGCTTTTGTACGATGTGTGTCAGTCAGTCTGTGAGGAAAATTCACTCTCCTGGGTATGTATATGAACAAAAACACCAAATATATAATCCTTCATGCACTCACAAACACACACACACACACACACACACACACACTTACTTTCAGGCAAAACCCTTGCTGTCGGAAGCAAAAAGGCAGCTATTAATCTTTGTTGGTCTTTCTCCTCCTGTTTCCCTCTCTGTCTCTCTCTCTCTCTCTCTCAGTGAAGATACAGAGGTTAGAGTATCACTATCTTAATAGTTTGAATGCGCACTGCCAAGCAGTAGCTCCTTTTTCCATCGGAGCCTCTAAATGCTACAGCGCTGGGTGTTTAAGGTGGCGTGTCGCGGGGGGTCACGGCAGCGCTGAGTCACTCTCTTCTCACGCGTGTCAGGGAACAGGCGAGACATGGGTGTTTGTGTGCCCTTGCGTGACCTCACCCCCTTCGCTTCCTCCTCCCCCTCCCTCCTCCTCCTCCTCCTCTTTGCCGGCAGGTGTGCAGGGTGCTTGTTAGAGGGGTCCCAGAGGGAGAGCGAGGGAGGGATGGAGGGAGCGGAAGAGGGGTACGTCGATGTGCCGGGCAAATGGTATCATAAAGAAAGGACAGAAGGAGAAGACAGAGGGATAAGAGATGAACACTTGCATTATGAGACTCCCACAGGGAGGGAGTGGCTGGGGAAAGGAAAGAGACACATTCTTGTGCTTGTCTTTCAATTTGAAATGTTCTGTGTCTCATGTATGAGATGCTTTATATCTTTTGGATACTTATTTTTCTCCTGCTCTTGTTTTCTGTCTTCTGTCCTGTTTTCTTGTTTATTTTATCAAAGGTTGCAGTACTGCTCTCTCTCTTTTTATTTATTTATGTGCATGCAAGAGACCAGGTTACTGGGAGAATTCAGGTTATGGTACTATAATAACCTGGTTACTGTAAAATTGAGCAGGCAACTGGTCAGAGATCAGATTTCTCCCCTACTTAGTACTGTAATATTGAACCAAGCTGGCTTATTTCTGGTGATGAATATGATGCTTTTTCCTTTTACTCTGTGGAGAGAAGGCACACCGGCTTTCCTATTGTATATATGCATATATGCACGCTGATCTGAAACCTCAAAGAGGAAACAAGCCAGACAAAATGCCACAGCAACAGCAGTAACAATGACACACAACTTAATACATATCCCAAAAGGACATTAGTGTAGCTCAGGAGCCCATCTAGCTACCAAATAAAAAAACAATTAAATACAATGGATCAATTATTTAATAAAAGACAGATCATTAAGTGATGCACCTAAAAATAAGAGCAGTAAAGTCGGCAGTACACATAAAATGAAACGTAAATGACTGTTCAACTGTGGAAAGAGACTTGTTTGGGCTTTATCTGATCTTAGTTTCACTTGTAGTCAGACTTTCAGTTCAATTATTTTGAATAGTAGCAGTATTGATCTTTCCTTTCAACCACACTGATAACACGGCAGTACTCGCAATACTCTGATGTCTTTGTCACACACACAGGCGCACACAAAGGCTGATAGAAACGCTGTTAAACGCATAGATGGGAGCAGAATTTCACTGTGTTAACCGGATTTCCCCAGAATCTTTATATACGAGTGTCCTACCTTATCGCAGCCTGAAGGCCTGCTGTTTATTTTATGTTACTATACAAAAAGACCAAATCAGCGGTTTCAGTCATTTACATTTGTACAGACTTTACTTTACTTCAAATTAATTAATCATTCTAAACATTGTTGACATGAGCAGAGAACAACCTCAGTGGATTTGTAATTGGCTAAGACAAAGGCAAATGTGTTCATTATTGGAAGTCTGGAATTACAAGATTAAAGAATTGATAAATATTCCAATTTTTCTATTTAATTACAATACAGAAGTTCATGTGCTTCTTGAGCGTGCTGTAGTTAGAAAGAAAGTATTTTCAGTGGTTCAGTAAAAGTTTGACTGAGCTTACACGCACTCTTCCTTGTGGAGGAGTCTGCAGCACAAGATTCACCTGTAGTTTAAACAATGCATAAAGTTATCTATATGCATTTCTATAGCCTTTTATTTTCTCCTTAAGGCTTTTGTGTGCTCTGAGAAAACCTTAATTCCCCAGCCCTTGCGTACGTTACTCATCTCGCTGGCAAAGTTAGCGACTAAGTCCTTCTAAAAGCCTTTAAAAAAAACTTGAAGACGGCGAAAAAGAGAGCAACACAGAGAGAGAAATGGTGCAAAAAAAAGAGAGAAAAGAGCAGAAAAGGTTTGTTTCCGAGGTTTTCAGCTGAATTTTGAAGGTCAGAATCGACTTAGAAATACTCGAAACAGGCGAGATGAGTCAAAAAAGTCCTGAGAATACCTCGACTTATCGCCAGCCAACACACTCCCTTTGCATTAATTCCTTAGGAGTGGGTTTGTAATATTCATACAACTTCAGCAGACGTATGTGTCGGGGGCCGTGCTACAATTCACGGTGTCCTCTGCCACGGTGAAATTACCCAAATGCTGTGTTTAATGGAAGCGACACCTACGGCCTCCTGTAGCGCGGCGATAGGCTGCTGGTGGGAGTGTGTCATCTGCATACGTTAATATTCATGAGCGCCAGACAGTCAAGAGGTGAGGCGTCCCTCGGCATGCTGGGAACGCTGGGAGTTGCAGAAGCGAGGCAGAGTTTAATCTAGTGAAACGTACAGCCATTATGAGTGCTGGCGACAGAGAAATAATAGCCTTTCTGGGGGCGAAGTCGTGACCTGTAACTGGGATGTACGCGCAAAGCTAAAATAGCACTGCTACTTTGTCGAGTCCGCGCATACACAATATTATAATTGTAACCTGTCATGACGGTTCATATGTGTCTAGCTCATTTGAAAGGTCACAGTTTTAGTTGTCCAGATGTGTTGCTAATGGCTGTATAAATAATATTTACAAATAAAAGCATTGTTCCCTCTTCATAACATCTGCTGCTGTCATTAAGGACCTGGCTTATGCTTTAATCATAAGCCATTATCAGACTCCTCACCTGGGAACTGGTGCACAAACACACACACACACACACACTCATACTCACACTCACACTCACACTCACAAACAGTATGACCCAATGGGAGTGGAGAGACGATGGAGGCATCTGTTTCTTCGCTGTGTGTTTGTAACACTTCCAGGAGAAATAAAAGAAAAGTTTGTTGTCGGAGCAACTTTTTTTTTTTTTTTACTGAATCATAATCTGAGAGAAGCGACAGGGGGAGGCGGCTGGGTAAAGCGAACGGAGGGAAGGCAGTTAAAGCCGTTCGCCTGCATTCCCCCGCCAAAGTAAACAGGAAATATAGCACTCATAAAGCCCTGATGGGTTCTGTTAAATTGAATAATGCTCAAGTTAAGATTATGCTAATGAGCCATATGACGAAGGAGAGAAACTATGCAGGAGCTTGTGTTTACACGTGTGTGTTTGTGTGTTTATGCCAAAGCGGACTGAAGCTCTGTAATATAGAAATTATATGTGCAGCAAATACTAATTTAGCCAAACAAAAGAAAATAAATCATTTAAAAAATGTGCATGTGGCATGTGTGTCCTTAAAGCAGGTTGGAAAAAAATGTATAAATTGTGATTGCGCGAGGGGGATGCAAATTAAGCCTTCAAAGTAGGTCTGTATGTGTACTGTATGTGTGTTTGTGTGTAGGATGTGTGTGTATGTGTGTATAACTTGGATTAATTGCTGCAAGGTTTGAATTATCTGTAAATTAACATTTAATGAACAGGATTTAGATTCATACTAAATGTTATATATTAATATTAATACTCTAACATGAAGTCAAACTCTGGTGATTTTCAAGGTTTAGGATCATTTCAAGTTAAGGTGAAGAAAATACTCAAACAAACAGCTATGAAGCTACAATACAATTTTGGAGATATGTTTTCATCGTGTGTTCATGTGTTTTTGTCTGTGTGTGTGTTCATACCCAGCTCCAGTCATTGTCTCTGTGTTGCTGACAGCCAGACTAACCACCTCGGTGACGTCCACCCTGCCGATGGCTGACGGGCTTCGCTCGCTCTCATAGTAACTCAGGAAGCCACCCTCCAGCGTACACCAACGGCGTGTCATGTCTGAAATATACACATACAGCTACATGTTAGAAAGACCACATACAGTATTTACACATTCCAAAATGTCCCCTTTAATGCTTTTGCTGATCTTGTATCCCCTTTGATAGAGCTAAAAGAGACAACTAACTAAAACAGCGTGGTTCATTTAGGGAAAGATTGTTGGTGGGAGAGGGAATGCAAACCTTGGTCTTTGGCAGGAGATTATGACACTATGTTCACTCATTTATTCACTGTAAAACTATTTTTTGTGGCAGCATATGATTGTAATGATACTTCCTTAAAACATATGATGTTTTAGGCTGCTAGTGTTTGATGTGAAATCTCATTATACTATGACTTACATTTATCTTTAAGCCTCTAAACTGTGAATCTTATTATAATATTAAGCAAGACTGTGCAACTTTACTGAACAGTGTGCCCTATGGCCACAAGTAGCAATTATAGCATAATTCACTTTTTTTCTCTTGAAGACATCATTACCATGCAACCTAAATAAGAGCAAGTGGAATAGGACCACAAAACACCAAAAATGTTTTACTTTTAGAAACGAAGTATTGAAATGCTTTGTGACATACTAAAGTGTAGTGTAATTTACAGTAGCAGCCATCTGTAACGCCCCGTAAGCACCATGTGTGGAAACCAGTTGCAATGCTTTATCTAACCACCAGGAGGAGCAGTGATTACGGAAGCTGAAACGATAGCACAAATAACAAAGTAAATTGACTCAGTAATGTTAGTCGCACAGCAGTTTCTACCTAAAGCTTGCTAAAATTACCTAACATTTGCCACTGAAGGCTAATGGTCATACCAGACCAAGTAAGGCTGAGGCAGCAAAAGCTCACAGTGTACTGAGCTGAGCAAACATAGCATTGTATTGCTTGTGAATTTAACTTTTTAAATATAAGAGGTGGAAGTTTTCTTTATTGACTTTACATAGTCCTGCAGCTCCATGTAAGAGATGAAAAATATTCAATAGAGGATTAATTTTGTAAACTGATCTGATGCCAACTTAAGACGATTTATAGCTCCTTTACTAATGCACCCAGAATCATGCAATATGTCTGCTTCCTCTATTGGATTACTACTGTAGAGCCATTCAGTTGCATACTGATAAAATTTAACAAATTGCCTATTGTTTGAAGAGTCAGAAAAAGAAAATGAATTAGAGCCTGCAATGTTAATGATTGGTTTGTGAACAATTAGCACCACTCCAGCCCTATTTAAAACAGCTAATGACTCTCTACGAGCTAAGGCAGCACTACCAAGAAATCGTTGAAAAGTTCGGAGATAAGACACTCTGTGCATCCAGCTTTCACACATGGATGGATGTATGGAGATGCGACAGTGTCATAGGCCTCCCTTTTTCTTCTTCTTAAGGGTGCAGTTAACTCAAACTCAAATCCAAAGCCAAACCATGTGGACATAAAGAGATCACACCACCTGAAGGCCAGCATTTTAAGCCGACATCCTTCCAGAATAAACATCCAAGAAACAACGCTGGAGAAAAGAGAACATCCATACTGTAATTAGTAAAGCCACAGTCTAAAGACAACTGGCAGACTGGGGCCTTCATTTCCAAATCAACAAAAGAACACTTACAGCTCACTGACGACTTAGTCTGTGTCCACAACAAAGTTTTAACTCCATGACTGCAATCAGATTACTTATGTGAGGAAGTCGACCTTCATTTGTCCAGCCATTAGAGGCCATCTATGTCAAGCATACAGCATGTGAGGGTTGGCGCACAGAATTATGAGTAAAAGAGACTCAGAGTGCCGAGCAGATTTCAATCAACAAACATGATCTCAGTGGAAAAGCGGGAAAACACACAACATTGTCTTTTATGATTGTCTGACTGTGCGATTTACATAGCCAATGAGCATGAAGTTCATGAAAACATACCTAATTTTGGATTTTCAAAGTCACCGTGCCATCTGCTTTTTTGTTCCGCAACAAACACACACACACACACACACACACACAAACAGCCCCCCACCCCCTGTCGCTTGCGACTCCAAAGTTCCCACTGTATTCATCTCATGAATATGCTAATTGTGCATTCCTCTGCCAACTGTGTGTGATGTTTCTGAAGGAACAGATATAGTTCCAATAAAAAAAAGGAAGTGTCTACAACTGGCTGTTAAAAGAAAAAAAGGATGTGATAAGCATAGGAAAGGAGGATGTCAGTTTTGCTCTATTCACCCTTGCACTGCCTCTCTGCACGCCTCTTTCTGACTTTTTCTTTGTATTTTCTGTCTCAAAAAAACAATTTGGACACGATTCTGCAAACAGCTTTAAGACTGCAAAACGACTCATATCTTGTTGCTTACTGTGGCATTTCAAAAATACTGTTCTTCTGACCCCACTTTGCTTCAAGAAAAAATTATTCCAGCAGCTGAAGAATCATCGTCTCTATCTGAAACCAACCGTGCATGCTGCAGTTTTTAATGTGAGTGTGTGTGTGTGGGAGTGAGAGAGAGAGAAAGAGATTGACTCTGGTATTTAAAGTCATTACCAGTCCAATCTATCTGACAGGACGCACTGTTGTCTTGGCGACGAAAAAGATCGTAATGCACTTACTAACTTCCGTTGCAAATGTGTCCCTGGATTGCTAAGGTTCTGCACAAAATGTCATGTCCATCATTTTCCTCCGGAGAGTAGTTAAGTTCTTGTTTTATGCTATACTTTGCTGGAAATTTGCCTTCCTTCCTTCTGTCAATCCTAGTAATACTAGTAATAAATGAATGGCTTCATGTGTACCATCAGAAACCCTCACACAATCATCTTCTTAAGAGGTACACTTGATTTCTTAACTGAAGTCAATTGCTATCGTAAGCTGCCTGACAGCTGTAAAGGCACTGATCATCTAGATATTTTGCTTTAGAATGGATCCTTTGGTTGCAGAGGTTATTAAAACGTTTAGATTATAGACGAACTGACATACTGGCAAGTAGAAACAGTTATTGCCTAATGTTAATGGTTCCCGAACTGGAGCCAAAAGATAAATCTGAGGGGTCAGAAGATGGTTAAGGGGATACAAAAGCAGAAATAAAAATGTACTTCTGCCACCCAAAATCATATTTTTCATCTGGATGAATGGCAAAGTTGTTCAGTTGGTCCACAGCCTTGGTCCACATTGAAATATTGCAACATCTACAAGACTGATTGGTACAAACTGTGGTACTGCCATATAAAATTCAAAATTATTTTTACAACCCCCTGACTTTTCCTCTGGCGGCACCAACAGTTGTTAGATGTATTACTATTTTTTTTGCACTAGATTCCCCAATGCTGCTGTGTTGATTTGAATATCTCCTACGGGGGATTAATAAAGGTATATCTTATCTTATCTTAGTGCAGACTTTAAAGGATATATGTTCAATCTTTTGATATTAACAGAGCAGCAAATAACTATTTTGTATGTGAATATGTAGGAGAGTGTAGGCATCCTTAGTACAGAATGACGTCACACTCCCTCCCCTTGTTTTGATCTGTGAGTATTGCCGCATGTGCATGTTAGTGCATGTGAGTCTCTGTGTGCAACTGTTGGCTTTGAGGATAGTGTCTGAAGCAGCTGTTTTTCTAATCTTTCTTTGTGAATAAAAGATTCATTTCTACCAAACCAGAGTTGGTGATTGTTGGAACAGTGGAAAAACAAAGACGGTTTGGTGAGTTTTATTTTGTTTCTGTCTGCTTTGAATGAAGTTACAATGCTGCGATGATGTGCGAGGTATAATTACAGTTATTGTCAATGGAGTCTGGTGGTAAGCAATAACCATAATATGGTTCTTGCTAAACAGAAGGTCTATATCTGTGATCTTCCCATAATGTTCAGACACTTCTAAATCACTGAGTCAGTGGCAAAAAAACAAGCATTTTAGTGGACATACTTTGACTGGTGCAAAGATTACATAACTCAGTGAATTAAGGGTTTATTTCAACCAAACCAGTTGTGATTGTTGAGGACAGTGTATAGACTACCAAATGTTTTGGTGAGTTTTACTGTTTATGTCCAGTTTGAAGTATGTTTTATGATTGTCTGCAAGATAAAATTACTGGTTTTGTCAATTGAGTCTGGTGGGCTGAGAGGCTGTGACATATAGTAGCATTAATGACCTTTTGGTTGACAAGATTACAGCCTATTAACACATGCAACTGGTGATGATGGGTTGCAGTTAGTTAAAAGGAGTCCCGAACCATCAAGGTTGGGAACCACTGCACCAGACCAATAGTTCTTAAACATAGGGTTAAAAATAACATAAACAGGACATGGATTTTTAAAAAGTCAACGGTTGGAAACCTCTGTTCAAGGGCATGTAAAATCCCAAAGTGTATAGAACTTGAAATATGCAAATTAGGGTTTTGATTGTCCTTTCACATCAGAAATATTAATAGATCTCATTTTGATGTTGGTACATTTGGCATCCGGATCCTGTCTCCTTGAACAGACAATGTCTGACAAAATCTTTTATCTACGCTATAGAAAACGGGAAAAAATGTTTTTAATTTCCTCTCAAGTCCAAGGAGAAAGACATTAAAAATCCCACTGTGAATTCAGGAAGCAAATTGCTACGGGATCCTGGGTGCAGACAGTGTGGACACATGAATGGGCTTGCCACTCCACCCACCAGTTTGTGAAGAATTATACTAATAATGGCCAGCAGACTTACAGGAACAGATACTCACATAAGGCCTTAACATGCTGGGGAAACAGACGGTTTGGAAGGGATAGCGATTAAAGGGGGGGCAAAAGGTGTTTAGAGACTACAAATGCTTGAGAAATGTCATTTCAGATACAGCTATCTCGTTTGGGTTGGAATTGAGTGAATATAAGGGATTCAGTAGACTGTGAAGACAGAAGAGGTTATGTTGACAGAAATTAGACATTTTCATGGAGGCCTGAAAGTGAAAGAATAAATCAAACCAGGCAGAAGGTTGTACCGATATAACTCAAGATATAACACTTACCAGTGGTGTGACTGCAGTGTAAATGTGGAATAGCTGCAATGAGTTTCACTCAGTTAAATGTGACTATTATTCAGCTGTGTTGGAATCTGTGGCAAGTTACTTCTTAATGCAGCAGTGAATGTCTTTGGATCCCTCCAAGATATTCCACCAGGAAACTGGCTTCATCAAAGACCTGCACATCACCGAATTGCAAGCATCCTTCTTCCCTTTTTTGTTTGTGGTTCAGCATTTCCTTAGCGGGTGGGATAGCACTAGCTTCTACACAAGCACCAGTGCAATGGAGGGAACAATAGTGCTTGATTTACAATCAAGCAGCTGCGTCCATTGCCAGCTGTTCCCCACACACAGCAATGGCCCTGTGGCCCAGCCGTTCTCCACGGGAGTCCACAACCAGCCGCCAGAGACAACGCTAGCGGAAGCCAACCGTGGTACATGCCTCCACCAGCTAAATTGGGCCAATTAGCTTATACGCCAAGAGCGCTCCCCGCATAGCATTTTCCAGATAAGATGGAATGTGGAATCTCTCTATTCTGTTTTTTTCCCATCTCCTCTCTCACTTGGGCATTTTGTAAAATTCGCTAAATGCTCTGAGTACGCAAGATGAGCTGGTTGATTAGACTAATCAAGTCATCAATGTGGCAATTAAACTGTCTTATTGTTCATTGACTCAATGGACCAGAATAAAAGTTACAGAATAACATATTTACTCAAAAGTTTTGACTCCGATTGTGTCTCAAGCTTTATTTTTAACTGCACTCCTCCAGATTTACCCAATGTCCCCCCTAAACTTTTTATCGACATTGCACAGACACCCATTTCAGTATGCATCGAAAAAGCAGGCCGTGCCCCTTTCCACTAAATCACCTGCTTCCCTCCCTCACTCTCCCCCTTCCGCCAATCTTCTGCCTATCTCACCATCAGACTAAAATATCTGTGATGAAGACATCTGCTGGACAGCTTGTCAGGGGGCTGGAAATGGAAATCGAGAAACTGAAGGGATCTGAACGATCTGTCTGTGCCAGAATTACAGCCCACTTCATTACAGGGAGGAATGGACAGATATGGCATATGATAAAGAAGAAAAAAACACTATCTGCCATGTATTTCCGGCCTAAGCAACAGCAGTACTCACTCATTTAAGCAAGCAGAGGCATAGTAATGAAGATATTCCAAAAAGCATATCAGATGAAGACAAATTTTTTAAATGGGCTTTATGTGCTCCTCATAATATATAAAACAGAATAACATAAATGTGACTGCTTATAAATTCCAATCATTTAACATCCTTTGAAAACTATTTTTTTTTACCCATAAAGACGATTTGGTTCATTATCAAAAAACTCCAGCTTTGTAGATGCAAGTAATTGAATGTTCATATGGGCTCAGATTTGTGTCCTCAATAAAACTGTTAACGTAATTCTACTCCCCCCACCCCTCCCCTCCAACCCCCTCTCTCCAACAGTTGTGAGTTACTGTTGCAGGCAAAAACAGAGCGCAGCTGATGAGGAAAAAGACTAAACTAATCAGAAATTAGGGGTGCCATTTCCCTGCTGCCACTCACCATTTCAGACAGTAACTGCCTACTGTCTCTCTTTTCCTCCCAAGACTCTCAGAAGCACAAAGACACACACTGATGCACACAAAGCATGTACACACTCTTTAATTTGAAAGTAGCATGAGTCACTCTTGAGCCCGTTTAAGGGGGTGACTTCATTTACGCTAGAATCAACTGCGTAAACCTGATATGTAGCGTAGCTCAGCAGAACAACTAATAAAGTGGTGCCATGCTGGAGGATAAAACGGTTCAACTTTGATTTCAGCACAAATAAAACAACAAGGAACATTGTTTTTCTAATCCTAATCTATATTCCCAGCTGCATCATGACTGAACATGTTTGTTTTTCCACTAAATGCTAAGCTGAACAGTATTTTATTTCATTATGGTGGACTGGCACAATGATCCCCCGTGCCACCTCAGTCAAGGCCATTACCAAAATTGCTTGCCAAATTAATTTATGTCGTACTCTGAATTTAGCTCCCATCAGTGGAAGCATGAAAGCCTATTGGAGTCGTCTCCAGACACAAAAAAAAGAGGCAAAGTTTAAGATGCCGTGGCAGAGTGCTTTTATTAAGCCTTGAGCACAACCTATGAATTATTAAGAACTTGGGTGTATCTATAGACCATCAAACCATTAGCCTGGGAGCGAGAGGCATCCTGGAGTACATTCAAAAACACCTCATCCCTCCGTGCTCACAAAGTCCTGACAGCGCTTCCTCGTGATTGAAGAAGTTGGAACGCATCGAGCGTTCACAACCCCCCTTGAATTTTTCAGCAACTGGAGCTGCAGTTAAAGCGCCATTAAAGCACAAAAGCCAAACTTGTACGGCTCTGCATAATAGATGAAATAACAAGGTATTTATCGGCCGAAATATTACGAGCACTTATCTGGGGGGAGACAACGGGAAGGGTGCGGCGTCTGGAAGTGGTAGAGTGACTAAAATGGACCTCGACAAAATGGACACCTGTTGCGTTACTCCATTTCAAGCAGGAGCTCACTGTACTGTACAAACCATACATTGTTATACCACTGGGTTTATATAAGAACAGAATAGTGTTCTTTTTCTGCAGTTATTTTAACATAAGGGATCACACTGAAAAGACAAATACTCTCATTTATATTTGTATGTATAATGGACAAAATAACTACTTGTTATTGTAAAAGGGGTCGCTCATACTGATGAACCCACAGATAATTATCACCCAACTCTGGAGTTCACCCCAGCTCTATGGAGCGTTTTAGTGTTTTTCAGCTCATTATTTTGGTTTTACTTCCTGCAACTTTACTGGTTTTGGTTCACTCCCCTCAGCATAAATTCCAGATGCAGGCAGCTGTTTTCAGCGAAACAGCTCTGATGAATCCACTGTCCACTCCCTGCTACACACCAAAGACCAAGCACACAAAGTTAGCGACTAGCTGGCTAACATAGTGGTCCATAGGTCAAATGACAGTGAATATGACTTGCATTCAGCAGGTAGGCAGTAACATGACTCCAAATGAATAATATTGCTCTGAGTAGGCTGAATGTGTTAATATCCAACTGTTTGCTGTCACAATCAACATAATATGGTGATAATATGTCACTGTTGTGTTAAAAGCTTGTTCCTGCTACCCAATGTCCACAATCTGGTTAATTTAGTCTGATCATCCAACCACTCTTGTTTCTTGACCCATCAGAAATTGTAGTGAGGTCGCAATGCTCACAGATGTCAGCAATTGAGTACAATATTATCACAACCAACAGAAATGAGGGCCAACAACTCTGAAATTAAGACCCAAATTGCAATCCATTGGAATCATACTATAATTATAATTCCATTACAAATAATGTACAAATAATGACAATTTCAAATGACACTGGTAGGATTTTTCTCCAGTCCTCACTAAAGGGGCAATTTCCCCGGCCTCAGCCCTGCCAGCATGTACAACCCACCAATGAGAGCGGAGCGTGTGTGGTGTGATGGAAATGGAGATGGATGTCTTACCCAAGATGTATGAGATACAGCTCAGTGGCAGGTAGCTGCAAGCTGTCATCTCCCACCACCCAGACACCTTCCTCCCCCTTATTTCTCCTCCACCTTCCCCCATTTTCCATCCCACTTCTCCACTTTCCCCAATAACCCCCCCTATCCCCAGGGGCAGCCTCCAAAGCTGGCTCCTTCTCCTAATTACCCATGGGCCCAAGAAACGCTCCAGCTGTTTGGAGAAGTGGGACCATTGCAGAGCACGAGGTGCAGTGGCAGCTGAGGAGTTTGAGTGTGAAATGGAGCCTGATTAAAAGTTTTAAACTGCCTTGGAAAACAAAAAGGGAGAATTCTGAAGCATTGGAGGGAAGCATCATTCAAGTTGAAGTAGAAAGGACTTCAAAATTCTTTTATTTTTTTTTATTAAAATTTTTCTAACCTAGCCCTAATTTACCCCGTACTTCTGTGGCGCATTCGCTGCTAGGTCGTCTAAGAACATACTTCTGTCTGACAAGCATTCCCAGAGGACCAATGCAGAACGTATTTGAAAGACAGATTCATTGATCGTTTTGACTGGACTGTTTGGTGTACGGATTAAACGATTGGCAATTTGACAGCTGACAGACTGACACTGATTGATCGATCAGCGCTTAACTGGAGTAGACCCCTGACAAACACGCAGTTTAAATTGCTTACAAATGGATTGATGGATTGATTGGCCTTGCCAGGGGTTTGCAAAACGGCATTTACACTCACCATCTCTTCCACGGCGATCCAGCGTCGTCTTGGTGGGGCCGGAGGAGATGTAGAGGAAGCCATCCATGAAGAGGGAAGCGTCAGACAGGGTGGTGTTCTCCGACCACTGCTCGAGTCTTGGGAAATCTACAAGGGTGGGAGAAACAGTAGATGAGCAAGGAAATGGTTTCCCCAATGAATGCAATGGTGGCAGTGCACTAATCTGATCTTTCTCTTGAACTCTGTCACCATTTCACCTCCACCGATAATATTTAAGTGCTATTTTTAAATAAAATTTGTCTGTCTGTCTGTCTGTCTGTCTGTCTGTCTGTCTGTCTCAGCATATTACTGGCTAAGATAACCATGTATATATCAGTCGACCAATAACTGAGAATCGTCACCCATGGTAGTACATTTTCATCACCTATGCAGTCCCACAGTGGGACACAGCATTTTGCCCGTATTACTGCAACAGTAACAGATATTATCTTGATATTATCAGTTAACATGTCCAGCTTCCAGGAGATGTCAACCATCGTTGTTATTCCATACTATTGTTGCAAAAAACAGGTTTGGATTTGGAAAGTGGGAATGTTTTCAGATCCAGATAGCACTAATCCCAGATATGATTCTATCCTTATATCCCACTCTCATTTTCGTAAAATCCCTAAAAACCAGAAAAGATGGATTCTTGGCTCAATTATGAGACCCCACTGTTGAAGTGCACCAACTCTCTACCAGCTTCATGGTAACTGTTCTTAAACCTGAGCTCTGACCTCCATGTGGACAGTATTTCCCTGTGGGCATCAATGAAGCTGCACAGGATTATCTATTTTTTCCCACAAGCAGCATAAAACAAGATTATACAAACTGTTTATTTAGTCCTGACTTTGTCACATGGTTATTCTCTTGCAAAGTCAAAGATAAGATGTTCTGAGAGCATTTCAAAGTGCAAACCTCCATGTTCTGTATCGGTTAAAATTAGTTTTATGCCCCATCCTCTCTTCATCTTTGTCCATTTAAATTAGAAGCCTTCCTGCCTCATTTCTCCCCTTTTCTTCTAAACTCCCTCTACTCATCCTTTCTTGCTAGCTTTAAGAGCTCCCCACATTCAACCTTATCGTTCTCAAATTCAATTAGCTTCAATTCTGAGGTTCAATTTTCTGCCGGGGCCTTGGCAATATCTTACAGATTTTATCTTACTACCTCCAGCTCTCTCATCAAGCAAGGTAAAATAACTTTAATTGAAACCACTTTTAATTGAGGCGACATTTCCACCCTTTACTGACACCACTGGCGCCTCATCTCAGGGCCAAAGAGAAAAACAATCAGTTAATTCAACAAGGCGGTTCCTTCTAATGCATGTGTTCTATGTGGGGATTGTGTCAAACTAATTCATTGTGTTCACACACATTATTAATCTTTGAATTACAGTGAAATACTACGAATTCAGTAACATATTATTCTAAAAAATGAAGTAAAATGGACGTCATATATCACATTTAAGCACCCAAAGGAAATGGAAGCCTAATCTTACTGATGACATAACCATAATTCCCATTATGAATAATGTTTAAAGCATCTAAGAAATTTGTCAACTATCTGATATTCTGTTCGAAGAATTTTGACATATGTGTAATATATATTTTGTGATATAAAATTAAATATGCTATACATCCACTCCTAAGTCTAAGTTTAAAGATACAGTGAGACATTGTTTCCAAACTCCAATCCTGTGTCCCTGTGTTGATCATTTATCTCTTGTTGGATGCTGTCAAAAAAAGATTTTTGAGTATTTTTATATCAAAATCCCTCTCTTTACTTTGGCAGGGTTTGGTACTCACCCAAAATCCCATTTGATTGGATACATTTATGTAACCGCCCCCGGAGTTCAAGATGAGTCTTCAAAAATATTTGTATGTTTTTACAGGAAAAGAAAATAGAGGGATTTTGAAGTTAAATACAAAAAAAAAAAAACACACTTGACTGTTAGCTTATTGGTAGCTAGCAGAGCAATATCTTAGATGTGTGTTTGGACCGAATAAATAACAAATAATATAATAATATATTAATTAATTAATTATATTATTAAGTTATATTAAACCCAATCTTTTATAATTGGAAGCTGATTTAAAACACTTTTTTAGGGCCTTTACAGACTTAAATGGAGAAAAAGCTTAGCTACACTAACATTAAGCAAGTTAAAGGTAGAAATCTGTTCAACCAGTAACAAACACAGCTAGGTGACAGCAAGGTGTAGTAGCTGCATGTGTAGCCACGTCCAGATGTGATGTAGGATTGTACTATAGTGCAGCACTACATCACAGCAGTACTGGTAATCATATTTGCCTGTGTGAAGTTACTCTGGTTACCGTACATTAAAAATTATTTATGTTTTTAAGATGGGATTTTTAAGAAAATGTACGGTTAAAATATGTACCGTTTATCTAACATGAACTGAGCTTAATTAAATCAGGGCAGTTTGGCTTTAAAAGTTCCTCATAGCAACTCAAAGACTGATTTTCTGTACTATGCACCCTATTACTGGAACAAACTGCTCAACTAATTAAAGTCAGAGAAACTCCTCTCAGCTTTAAAATTACTTGTGAATGGTTTAATTAGTGTGTCTCTGTGTGACAACTGCTTGTGACTGCACTGTCATGTTGTGATGTAAATGTAATTTGTTCTCAGGTCTCTCTTTGGCCTTGATCAATGAGACTTCCTGATTAAATAACTAATTGACGATTGATCTCCAACATGGTTATTATAAATAAAGACTGTAAATGAAAAACAAAAACACCCAACAAACGCTTCAAACCATCATCAACCCCTTATCAGTCCAGCTCATAGCAAGTAGCATTCAAATCAAGGTCAAATCTGGCATGATACGACCGTTTTTAAGAACTGTAGCCGTTTCTAACAAACGCAACACATTTTTGATGCCATGCCAAGAATGCAGAGCCAATCAGGAGCAGGGTGACACAAAGCCCGGGTCAGTTATGTTAGCAACATCTGTAATCTAGCTTTGAATGTAACACAGAACGGTCTGCCAATAGCAGCATCATAAATACATGGAATCTGAGAATTTAATCAGCAAACTGCAGGGAAGTGAGTCTAACACACACAATTTCCCAACCACTCAGGTTCAGAGAATGTAAATAAGCCAGTGGCTTGATGCTGTATCAGTTGTAACAAGGCGCTCTCTGTGAGCCTTCGAAACAGTCCCTCTGGGCCCCTAAAGCTGGACTCTGTTAAGATGGGACTGTGATGTCTGTGGGGGCGGCAGTTGAGAAGTCTGGCCTGTGCTGATTGGCTCAGTCCCCAGTGAAGGAAGGTGACATGACAGAGTGCTCAATTAGCCATCTGGTCGCCCACGGCAACGGTCACAAAGTGGTCCCTGACAAGCAGTGGACAGTGGGGTAATCAGAGGCACTCGCGCGTGCGCACACAAAGACAGTGAAGCCACACACACAGCAAATGATAACACAAATGGCTTAACACATGCAAGGCAAGCACAGATAACATGTACAAGTCAGATAAAGATTTTATTTAAAAAAAAAAAAAAAAGGCCAGAAGACTAGATTTAATGTAAAACAACGTAACCCATTATAAAATCTAAACCATCATTCATTGCACTATTTAGCCAAAGGACACACACACACACACACACACGAAAACTTTTAGCAAAAGCACGTTCCTCTCAAAATGAAAAACCATCCCATAACAAACACGTCCACCAGGGAAACATGCCTTCTAATCTTTAAAAAAAAAAAAAAAAACTTTAAAATCTCTCAGCCAGCTGCTTATGACCTCCTGCCCTCTAACAGTCAAGTGTACAGATTGCGTGTGGTTAAAAACATAAACAACATCAACAAGCACAGAAGAAACTGGGCAGAGCTGTGCGATGCTGCTACCGAACACAGTGAGTTAGAACGGAGACCCGAGATGAAACATGCGCTTCTGAATTAGCTGTTTGTGTATTTGTGTGTGTGTGTGTGTCTTAGTGTTCCATCTTTTTATTATCCACACAGAAAGCCTGCTGGATAAATTTTTAATGTGCCGCGAGATTCAGAGATTCGAGGCGTCAGGGATGCCAGGGTGGCAACAATAAAACTTCTTTGCCTCCAAATCCGTGGTGTGTCATTTAAGAAGAAGAGAAGTGAAGTCAACAGTAAGAGGTATTGCTGTTTAGCTTGGTTTTACAGTACAATGGCCTCCTGGGTGGAGTGAAGAGCCGCCATAAAACACAATTTACATGTTTACATTGCTCTGTTTACAGTTCAGGCATTAGCGGATGCTTTTATCCAGAGATTTACAGTGAAAGAGCTGGCAGGGGTTCACTGTCTCGCTGCATGTTGTTAAGAGCAGGAATCAAAATTGCAACTTTAAAGCCGCTATTTGTGGAATTTATATGAGTTTTGCATCTTATGAATAGTTCTTATGGCTTAAGTTTTTGTCTGTAAGAAAGTCAGACAGCCCAAGGGGACAATGGCAACGCTTTCTTCCAGTGTCTGTAGATAGTATGTGTACACAGCTACTGTAAAGGTGCACTATTTAAAAGTCCAGTGTTCACTGGCAGGAATAGAATATCATATTCATAAGTATGTTTTCATTAGTGTATAAGCACCTGAAAATAATAATTGTTGTGTTTACGTTATCTTAGAGAGAGCCACTTATATATCCTCTTCTACTGAGTCTGCTATGCTTCTAAAGTAGCTCAGAACAGACAAATCCAACACTGGTTGCAAGCAGGGCCTTTTGCATTTGTTTTTCCTACACACAGGGACAGCGATATTCAGTTGGCTGCCATCTGCAACTTCACTGCTAGATGTCATTAAATCCTACACACTGTTCCTTTTATATAAACAATGGGTCAAATTACTATGTTTAATGTGAAAGGTGACACTTTTTGTGACAAAACCACAGAGAAATATCACCCAACTCTGCGGTTACCCCTTTTTACGGTCTTTCAGCTCATTATTATCGGTTTCCCATCAAAATCGTTTTGATCCACAGCAGGGAGCGGCTTTTAGCTTAGAGAATATGGACTCACTGCACACCACCTGCCCTGCAGTGCAGCTAGCAGCTAGCTAGTGAACTACATTTAGCAGCTAAAGAGCCAAATATTTCCTTCAGGTGTTGGTGGA